TGGGTGGGTGGATGGACGGGTGGGTGGATGGACGGACGGGTGGGTGGATGGGTGGATGGATGGGTGGGTGGATGGGTGGATGGACAGGTGGATAGTTGGATGGAAGGTGGGTGGATGGATGGGTGGAGAGATCTCAGAAGTGCCTGAGGGAGAGTCCTGGATCTATGTCCTTCCATCTCCTCAGAAACTTCATCATTTACCTTCATCTTTACCCTACATCTTCAACCTCCTTCCTCACTACTAAAACCTTCCCATCAGAATTTAAACAGACCTAAACCTGTCACATGTGACAAACAAAAGGGAAGGAAGGGAGGGAGGGAGGGAAGCAAAGGAGAGAACTTCCCCTAGTTCCACACCTGCTTCTATTTCCTGTCCAAGGCTTGTTTTGTCACAGCCAAGCGTCTTGGAGGAATTGTCCATATTTATGACCTACACAACCATCGCTTCTTCCCGTCCCCTCTTGCAACTGCTCTTGCCAAGGTCACCCCCGCCTTGTTGAGAAAGCCCAGGCGGTAGGCCCTTGGGTTCTTGTCTCGCTCGACCTCGTCCCTCCCCCACCCCCTGCTCTCCATCCAGAGCCTCCCGAGCCAGGAGGCATCTCCCTTTCATGCTGAGCCCCCTGGATCCCCGATGCGCTCGCACTCCTGCAGCCCCCACTGCAGTGAGCTGAGCTCCCGGCTCCTGGCTGAGAGCCTAAGCTCATGGCAGGGGCTCCTGGGAGCCAGGCCATGTGGTCTCGCCCACCCTGTGGGCCCACAACCAGCGCTGGGCTGGAACAGAGTCCACGCCTGCGGGTGAACACGCAGCCCCTCCCAGGTCCCCGACCCCACTCCTCCTTGGTCACTGCCCGTCTCTTCGGATGTTAGGAGGCCTAAGGAACATTTTTTGTTTATTTTTTTTGAAAGTCTGTACTAATTTGAACACTTTCATTTTGCAGAACCAGAAAGAATTTGAAGCCCAAGTATTCAAAGATCCAAACGAGTTCAACGAGGTGTGAATTCCTAAATGTCTTGTTGTCTCAAGTGAGTAGAAAAGGAGCCTCATCCGTGTTGTGTATTTTTCCTGCTTAGCTCGGAACGTGGTTGTGAATTGCGTGTTTGGTGAGAGGGGTCAGGGCTGACTAACGTGTATCATTCAACTTTGGCGTAAGATGCCACTAAGATAGACGAAGACAAGGGGTTCCTTATTAGCTGTGGTTGGGTTTGGCCAGACGAGTGAACACTGCGGAGACGAGGTATCACCTAGACTGTCTGTTGACACATAACTGTCATAAAATGTTTGTATGAATGAAATGAATAGAGAGACTATATCATCATGAGTTATTTTCCTCACGTCAGAAAGATGCTGGGCACGCGTTTAAAAATCACTGAAACTCTGTGTCTTCCTCCCACCCTCCCTGTCCCACGGAGACATATGTATACGTACAGCTGATTCACTCTGTTATAAAGCAGAAGCGAACACACCATTGTAAGCAATTATACTCCAATAAAGATGTTAAAACAAAATCACTGAAACTACTGAGTTTCCTCTGGAGAGTAAATGATCAAGGTGGCACCCAGAGCGCAACGGTTCTGGCATTTAGCATTGAAACGTCTTTCTGCTGGGCCCTGAGGGAGACTCAGAGACATGGAGCCTGTGTGCATACGATCTGTGTTACTGTTTGAGGCGTCTGAGGGCACAGCCCGCTGCCCAGAGCGGCCCTGGGTAAACACCAGGGCTGCACAGTACCACGAGGCACCGGGAGGCAAACCCACCTGTGGGCGGGCAGAGGCAAGAGTGCTCTTCCCTGGACCTGAGGGGTGAGGCCCGGGTGCGGCTCTCAGCTTCCCTCTGGAGTCAGCCGGAGGCCGCCCTTGCCGGCGGATGAGGAGCTCGCTCTCTGTCTGGCTCCGCTGTGTCTCCACCTGGACCCCATTCTTGGTCCCCATCCCCCGCCCTGCCCCTCAGTGCATTCCCCCCACACCTGGGACTCCCCTTGTGCAGCCCCTCGTCTGGGGTCACATCCCACTGCACCCACTGGCCAGGAAGCCCTGAAGACAGCCCTGCCTTCCCCCTGCCCCCCACTCTCCGGCAGGTGCCCCTGGGCGTCAGGTAGCAGCTTGAGAAAGAAGGGCTTGTGAGGCTCTTTCCCTGCCCTTCGCGTTTGGATATTGCCACATTTTTGCTGTTACAAATACTTCCCGAAATGAACTGTCCTTGTAGATAAATCTCTTCACACGCATCGTCGCTTACTTACTGGGGTAACTTTGTAGAAGTAGGAATGCTGGCTTTCAGGCCTGCATCATTTTGAGATTTCCAGCACATGTGACCTCACACCCTCCGGGAAGACCGGCTGGGCCAACGCGTGAGGACAGATCCCGTCCCTGTGCCGCACCGTCTTTTAACTTCTTTGCCAACGCGTGGGCCCTAACTGACCGTGATTTGAACTCATGATGCAAAGAACTAATGCTTTGCGTCTGTCCCTAAACATCGTGTTGTAGGTTGGGTACAAATTGACTTCCACGTGGATAACCCTGTTTTATTACTTGACTTTATTTAAAACTAAAAAAAACCTTTAAAACAATTCTCCGTAACTGTGGTGGAACTGAAGAGGATGCCAGCACCTGAGGGAGAAGCCACAGCCTCCCCGGGCAGCTCAGAGCACGCCCTGCCTCCTGAACCCCTCTTCAAGATGTGCCCCAGTCGCCTCCCCCTGCACCTTGCTCGAGAGTCCCGGCCTCTCTTCATGCCACCACTGTGGTAACTCAGAGGAGTTTAGCACCAAGGAGTCACTCATCTCCAGGGCAGCTCATCGAGTACCCGCGTCCCTCTGAGGACCCCTGTGTCCTCGAGCTCCGCGCTGGGCCCCGCTGCCGACCTCCGCCCAGGCTCAGCCCATCCTGCCCGCTCGGCACTGCGCCTGCCTCGGGCGGCAGGGTCGGGCTGCGGGAAGCGGTCATAACCTGGAGAGTTGAACGCAGCCTTCCTCTCACTGGCTCCTATAAGTGGGGCTTCCCTCCCCTCCCACCAGCCCCCCCGCGCCGTGGGAGGCCCCTCTGGGGGGCTGCGTGGCCTCCACGCAGCACAGAGAGATTCTGTTTGGGAAACAATTCTTTTGTTTTCAACTACCGGATTTGAAAGCTATCACTGAAAACTGGTAGTCCTGCATTCTTAACCTGCAAATATCTTTGGGAACAAGATTGCACTTGTGAGAAGTCAAGCCTGCAATTGCCTGCGAGTCCCACCTCGGGCTAAGCCGGGAAGGGGGGGTAACCCAGCCTAAGACTAAGTCAGCCCCTGGCCTCGCCTGCCCGGTCCGCAGTGTCGATGAGGGCTCTGCACCCTGCGACGCCCCTGCCGCCCCCCCAGCACCAGGCATCCCTGCGACAGCCCCTCCCCCCGGCCCAGCACGAGTTATGTCACTGAATGAAAGGAGATTGTTCAAGGGAATTCCCACCGCATACGCTCGGAAACTGTGAAGACAGCCGCGTCTAGAGAAGGCTCCTCCAAGGGCATCTTGCCTGACGTGTTTTCTCACCGCCCCCGACCCTCCCAGTTGCCAAGGTTCACATGCAGCTGCGGTAAAAGATACACAACGGAATAGGCTTGTCCCCAGACTAGCGCTCGTTACGACGCACTGACTGTGCAATCGCCTGGCAATGCCCAGAAGGGCTGAAGTCGCATGTGCCCCCCACCTCAGGGGCCGCGCTCCATCCAGGTGGAGCACAGGACCTCCTGGAGCGTCGCCAGTCTCGGTCACCCCTGAAGGAGGAGCCGTCCCCAAACACACCTGAGAGCCAGCCAGGAGGTGCCCACTTCCCAGCAAGAGGAGGGGCGGCCAGGCTGGGGACGGGCTGGGGACTCCACATCGCATCCCCAAGGCATGCAGCGCTCAAGGTCCCTGCATCCCAAGCGTGGCTTCCTGTGCCCTGTGCCGCCCACTGAATCCGCCAGGAAAACGCTCCTCCCCCGAGACCCGCATCCCCTGTCTGTCTCCACTTCCTGCTGCCTGGCCGGACTCGGCACCCCTGCGGGAGAGGCTGTCCACCCAGAGGGCGTTTGACAAAATTGGGTGGCGTCCAGGTCATCCTGCCCTGGACCTTGTGCACCCGTTTCCTGTCCCCACCCCCAAGTCTCGGTGTGGACGACGGCACAATGGCTCAGAGCCCAGGGCGGCAAGCAGGGACGGAGCAGGCAGAAAGATGGGCACGTCCTGTCTCCAGTGGCAGCAGGGGCCGAGCCACCGCCTCCTAGTGGGAGCGGTCAGCCTGGAGCTCAGGCCCATCCAGAGGCTAATGGAAACCATCTGGTCCTTAATAACCTGTAGAATACAACGGGGTCAGAAGAGGAATAACAGTCCCCGTGATCTCAGTGACACATCATACAAAACCCCAACGAGCACTTTTGCTTGAGGTGTCATGCTAAATGCTACGCGATCACCCCACGCTTCCCACTCAGTCCTGGGGGCAACCAAGGGCATGACCTCCCATCTCATCCGAGATCCACTGTCCCTCCAATGGAGGGAGTCAGGGTTTAGGGAAATCAAGAAACTTCCTCCGCGCACCGAAGTGATACAGAGCCAGGCCACACTCAGCCCTTGCCTGGATCTAAGGGTAAAGCCTTCCCTCACGGTCCGGAAGGGGATGTCTACTCTCCTTGCTGCTCGGGGTGACCGAGGACAGCTCCCTGCAGGGGCTTCCTGCTTCCCTTCCTGGCGGCCGGGCCGCCACGTGGTTTATGCGCGCAGAGGGGGCCGCTGGGCCTCTCCAGGGCTCTTCACGTCAGAAACACCTGGGAATGTTCTTTCTTTCGTTGAATTTTCAATTTGCATGTAAAGGCACCCGTTTCCGGAACAAAGAGCAGTCAGGACACTAGGCTGGGCCCCGCCCAGTCACGAGGGCAGCCACGCACAAGGCGGGGTGGGAGGAGAGGTGAGGCCACTGTGGGCTGCTGGGGGGATGGCAGAAGTCCTCTGGGATGGGGGGGCTGGGCCCCTCACGGAGGCCAGGGCAGCGTAGAGAGGTTTCCATCTGGAGAAGCAGATGCCAGGAGCCGAGGCCACAGGACCCAGCAGCAAACGCAGACGTGGTGACGTGGCTCTCGCCAAGGGCCGGGAAGCAGCCCAAGGACCCCAGCTGTGGGGAAGGGCGGGTTTGCGCCAGGCCCCACCTGCGGTCATGCTCTGACGGCCCGACACGGGCCACGTGGACTTGAACATCTGACAGAAGCGCAGAGTGGTTTGTGGACGGTGGGGCCAGAGTGTGCACCGTGCATCGAGACTGCGAGGGGAAGCTGTGGTCCTATCAGGCCCGTGTGATTGGGGCTGTCCTGGCAAAGCTGGGCCCACGGTCTCCCGACCCACAGGCTACAGATTACCCCACAGGTGCATCTCAGGTAAAGCGGGAACAGCGCCTACTCTCTCTGCCTCCATTTCACCTCACAGGGTCTTTGAGAATGAGTAAGGATCAGCCTACAGTGCTGTTCTGTAAACTGTAAAGTGTGATACGAATACGAGATTAATAAAGGTGTGTGGTGGACATGAGGGCCAGTGTTCTCACCAGGGGCTCGTAGGTGATGAATAAATAAGAACACAGGCAGGGCTTCCCTGGTGGCGCAGTGGTTAAGAATCCGCCTGCCAACGCAGGGGAGACGGGTTCTAGCCCTGGTCCGGGAAGATCCCACATGCCGCGGAGCAACTAAGCCCGTGTGCCACAACTACTGAGCCCGCGAGCCACAAGTACTGAGCCCGTGAGCCACAACTACTGAAGCCCGCGCGCCTAGAGCCCGTGCTCTGCAACAAGAGAAGCCGCCACAATGAGAAGCCCGTGCACCACAACAAAGAGTAGCCCCTGCTCGCCACAAGGAGAGAAAGCCCGCGCACAGCAACAAAGACCCAACAGAGGCAAAAATAAAAACAAATAAATAAATAAATTTATAAAAAAAAAATACAGGCAGCCTTGACTTGAAGAACCCAGCTCTGGGTCCTCCCTGTGGACAAATGTGGGGCATCGCTTAAGTGACGGAGCCAAAGGCAGATGAAGGATGTCTCTAGAAATACCTTCAATAATCTAACGTATTTAGAGAAATGAATCTCATGGAGCCAGGATGAAACTCCAGAGGAAGCGTCACTAGGATTTTCACGAACATGACACGCTTGGAGTCTGTTCTAACGAAACTGCCCCCATTAACACACACACACACCACCCTCATCACAGACTCACAGAAGCATACAGCACTTCATTCCCTTCAAGAGGAACATTCGAGCCCCTTGAATTTTCCTCTCACCCCAAGACGCCACCAGCCCCAAACAGCAAGCACTGTCCGGCTAACGTCTCTTCCTGACAAACCGCACTCAGCGCTCAGTGTGCTTGTGGTGCCGGCTCTAAGGTGCTGTTATCACAGAGGAACTAACAGGCTGTAGGGTTTGCATGAAAGCACAAGAGCCCGAAAGCCCACTGAGTAAACACGAGCTGCGTCCAAGTTATGTGAGCTCGAGCCGGCCAAGTTCACACCTGGGGCTGCTTGCCACGTTCCTAACTGGGACAGGGTAAGTTTGACTAAGTGCAGAACAGGCTTCTTGCCTCCTTGGATTGCTAAATATGACTTGATGCTGATTCTGACTCGTAAAATTCAGGAAAGAACACAGCAGCCTAGAAACTAGGGTCAGTCATCAGCTGGGAAGCGGATGCACCTCCTTCTTGCCGAGGACTCTGAAAACCATCCTGCTGGATTTGGTGCCCCAGGTCCGGTGTCTGCAGACCACAAGCCAGGTGAGAAGAGCCCCACTGTCCCACCTGCAGGGAGCACAGAGTCCAGGAAATCGGAGCCGCTGTTGTCTCAGAAAGAAGGAGGAGGGGAGGGGGCGATGGAGGGATAGGAGGGCCAGGAGGAAGGGGCTGGGGGAGGGCATTCCCTGACTGGGAGCACCGTTTTCACCGCATGAATTTGTTTTAAAGAAAACAGGTAAGATGGAGAGTTAAGGGCGGCACGTCCCCCCCTCGCTGTGCCGGCTAGGAAATCCTGGCCGTGCAGAGTCTCGCCACCGCGGGCACAGCAGGATGCAGAGCAGGCCGGGGCCTGCAGCCCAGCGCCAGGTATGCGGCCCCGCGGCAGGCGCGCCCACGGCAGGTGCAGCGCAGCCAGTGCCGCGGCCCCGGGACGGGAGCCCTGCAGGTGCGGTCGGGACACGTCCCGGCTCTGCAGGAAAGCCACGCGGCTGCAGAACAGCCGAGCGCCCTCCGCCCGCAGGTCCCGGGGTGCAGCGGGGGTGACGCCCGCGGCGGCTCCGGGACGGGGCGTGGGCGGAGGGGTGCCCGGGGCTCCTCTCGGCAGAGGCCTCTCCGGACCCCCGGCGCTGCCCGCCCAGCCCTCGCACCGGCACCCTCCCGTCCACCCTCGGCCATCCCTGGGCACGCGGCTCCCCCAGCCTCCCGGCCCCGTGCTCAGAAGCCCCAGAGCCTCCAGCTGCCACCCGAGTCCCCTTGGCGGACCCAGGAGCCACCGCGTGTTCACACCCACCCACCCTGCGGGGGGGAGTCGTGGTTCTTTGTTGAAGGGCCGCTCAGCCCCGATCCCGACCTGTAATCAGAGGCCGTTTTGCAAACAAGCAACTACCGAGTACAGCTGGGGACAGGAGGCAGAAATGGAGGCGCGGGACGTCTTCAGGCCCCCAGCGCTCGGAAGGGGGGGCTCCCAGCCCCCCGGGGTGAGGCTGCTAGGGGCAGGGTACGGGCATGGCCAGGGCACCTTACACCGTCAAAAATCCCACGGGGCTCTGAGGCTGCGGAATTGCTCCAGGGCTGGGTCCAGGGCCCCGGCAGGACGGAGTGGCTGGGAAGGGAAGTGTGGGCGCAAAGAAGGCGCCCAACGGCAGCGAGTGACGATGAGGCGGCAGGAGCCGCCGGGCCTTCAAACCACCCGAGTGGCCCAGCTCGGGGCCCCAGAGCCCTGTGTCTGCCGTGTCGGGAGAGGCCCAGGAGAGGGGCAGGCCTGCTGGGCAGAGGGGGCCTGCAGGAGGGGGGGGCAGAGCCGGCCCCTCACAGGCCCCGCGCCCTGCGGCCCGCCGGCCGGGGAGGCCTCACGCTCCTCTTGGGTCTCTCCTCTGACGCCACGCCTCCCCCTGAGCTCCCGGCGGCGGGCTGCACCTGGGCAGCTGGGCAGAGCGGCACCCCCGGAGGGCGGGGGTGGTGGGCTGCATCCCCGTCGGGTGACTGTCTCCTGGCAGCCCCACCCGCCCCCTGTGATCTTGGTGCCCGCGGTCCACCGGGGCGGCTGCTCCAGGCAAGCCCTGTCGGGACCTGCTGCTGCGGGGGAGGAATGCCAGGCGGTCACGTCCCTCAGGTACAGATGGGGTGAGTAGTCACAGAAAATCAAAATCGGGACGATTCTGGGACCCGGGATCCAGAGGTTGTGATCTGAGGCTTTTCTCCCGGAGTACACAGAGCTGCAGGCGGTGCAGCCCTGCGCCTGGGCCTGGGAGGGGGGTGTGTGCAGGTGAGCTGGAGGGGCACTGAGCCCCCGCCCTGCCAGCTCCGGGGCTCCCCTGCGTCCCCAGGGTCAGCAGATGCGCTTCTGGTCGGACACCGGGCAGGAGCCCCTCTGCGCACCCGGTCCCAGGGCCCCAGGTCCCTCCGGGCCTCACTTCACCCCACGCACGCATTTGGGCCACAGGGATGCCCACCCGCAGGACGTGGATACACAGGGCGGGGGCAGATGGGGTGTACCTGGAGAGCACCGGGCACAGGACAGACGCTCCATCCAGGTCGGCCCTGGACTCAGCCACGCGGGACTTGGACCCGCCGGGCTCTCGGGAGGGGCAGTGAGGCCGGGGATCCTCGGTCACCCTCAGCAGACAGACCCACTCGCAGGGGCCCCCGCAGGGGTGGGCGTCTCGGGGGGGTGCCTGGAGGAGCCGGTGTCGTGGGCAGTGGGATCCTCGGACAGGATGGAAAATGCCTTACGCGCACGTGACTCGGCGACACGGTGATACACTCTCCTTCCCCAAGCTCCCTCCTCAGCACTGCCACGTCCCAGGAGCACACAGGTGACAGGTGACGTCCAGGGACAACCTCCTGCACCTGCCGTCGACCTCCGACCCTGTCACTGCTGAGTGGGTCTGAGCGCTTGTCTCTGGTCCCAGTGTGAGCTGTGGCCTTGCGTATGCGTGTGTGCATGTGTCTGTGTGTACGCGTGTTTGTGTGTGCAGGTATGCCTGTTCACGCACGTGCACCTGCACCCCCCAGCAGGCCTCCTCCCTCAGACGCTGGCACGCTCGCCCTCGGCCCCGCCTGCTGTGCCCTCGCCTGGCGTCCTGGGGGCACCTCCAGGTGTGAGGAGAGGCATCCCCTCCCGCCTTTCTCTGTGTCCCCCCAGGAGAGGGTGAGGGCGAGGGGGCTGGGGCTCAGCCTCCGCCCTCAAGGCCATCCCGCGGAAGCGGCTCTACCCCCGGGTGGAGGTCCCGCCCCGTGAGGACCCAGGGCTGCCGATCTCAGAGAGGACGGACAAGGCAACCCCGTGCAGTGAGGCTCACAAGCAGGGTCGTCCTGAGCTGGTCCCTTGAATTCCTCTGCTTGGAAGAATCCTCAGCCCTGAAAAGTGTGAACAGGTGGGGGGGGGGGGGCACAGCCATCCCCCAGAGCCCACAGGGGGCAGGATGAATGGGGGGAGGGGGAGGCAGGAGGGGAGGACTGAGTGATGAGAACAACGGGGGAAGGGGCCGCCAGGCAGTTGAGGACATGCGTGTCCTGGGGGACATGAAGGGGCAGCTGAGCACAGGCTCCGGGGAGCAGGACGGGGCCACCTGGCTCAGTGGGGTCCCAGGCCCCCCAGCCCGGGCACACGTCTTATAACCCAGGGCAGGTGGCACAGATCTCTCGGGTGGACGTGCCCCTCCCTCGGCGCCAGCAGGAGTGACGGGCAGTGGCCCAGGTAAGCACGACAGAGCGCCTGGCCGTGCGGGGAGCCATGTGTGGGGCCCGGGGGCTCATCCAGGGTCCAGCGAACGCCGGTCTGAGGGAGGCGGCCCCTCTGCCTGCAAGGGGAATGAGGCCGCAGAGCATCTGCACGGCCCCCGGTGCGGCCACAGCTCAGGAAGCTGCTTAGGATGCAGACGCGCGGCCGCACGCACCGGGCTGGTCCCACAGTGACGCACGAGGTGTGGGCAGCTCGCTCGGCTTCACGCCTGGAGACCAGTGGGGCCCCGGGGGGATTTCACAACACGCCACAGGCGGCAAAAGGAATCACGTATTTGGCCTGGAGAAGTGAAAACTGAGGTTTGATTTGATCGCAGGGGCCCTAAAAGAACAGCAACAAGAAAATGTGGGCGGGGGGCAGTCATCCAGACGTTAACCTAAGTGTACACACACGCAAAGGCGTTTTCTGAAAAGCAAAACGGCATTGATTGCAGCCAGAAATTATGTCAAGACACAGCGAGGGGACTTCCCTGCACGGTGGTTAAGAATCCGCCTGCCAATGCAGGGGACACGGATTTGAGCCCTGGTCCAGGAAGATCCCACATGCCACAGAGCAACTAAGCCCGTGTGCCACAACTACTGAGCCTGTGCTCTAGAGCCCATGAGCCACAACTACTGAGCCCGTGAGCCACAACTACTGAGCCCACGTGCCACAACTACTGAGCCCGTGTGCCACAACTACTGAAGCCTGTGAGCCTAGAGCCCGTGCTCCGCAACAAGAGAAGCCACCGCAATGAGAAGCCCGTGCACCGCAACAAAGAGTAGCCCCCGCTCGCCACAACTAGAGAAAGCCCGTGCACAGCAACGAAGACCCAACGCAGCCAAAAATAAAGACACAGCAAAGAGGATGGTCCTGATGGACTAGAAGTGGGGGGATGGGGGCTTATGACGGGGGGGTGGAGCTGCTGTGCCCACGAGGGGCTGCCAGTAAACCCGACACTGGGAGGCTTCACCCCAATAGAGCACCACGTGGACGAGGTGGCCCGGCGGCCACTCACCCGCAGGTGCAGCACCAATGAGCACGGAGATGCTGGGGCCTCTGCAGATGCCCCAGAAACTCCTCGTGTGTCTTGACATCCCCACACTGTCCCGACCTCCCCTGGGAGCCGAGCCACAGGGCCCTGCGTTTGCTATGTCCGCCAGCCGAGATTTAATGCCGCAAGAAAATGCTCCTCCCCCAAGACACACATCATGGTGTCAACTTTCACCCCCTCCAGCCTCATCGGCCTGCACGGCCCCCACCACATGGCCCAGCCACACATGCACACACGCACACGCATGCACACACACAGCACACACACACGCAAACACACACACGCACACACACAGGGTCCCTGTGTGAGGGGTTACCAGCAAGAGGACGTTTGGAGAAAGGGGTGAAATAGGACGCTTCCTCCACGGCTCCGCCCCAGCTGCCGCCCAGCCCCCGCAGGCTCTAGTGCCCTGCAGCCCCCACAAATCCAACGAGCACGAAGGACATACAAATGCCCACATGGAAAATTCCAACCAGGAAACGAGATGTTAAACTCCCACCACTGGCGAATACTCTGTGCAAGGCAGTCACCGCTGTGGTCAGAAGAGCTAGTGGCAGGTGCTCTGTCGTCAGCAGAAAGCCTTCCCGCTGCTCTGTCACTGTGGCACATCACAGAAGCAGGACGACGGAAAACCCTGCAGCCAAATCCTGGTCCACGGGGCAGGCGGTGGATGGCGCTCGGAGTGGCCTCGGAGCCTCAGCGGCGTCCCCGCTCCCCTCCGGCCATGCACGCTGCCCCTGGGTGTGTGCTGTTCCTTCCATCTCAGCACCCCTCCCCCGGTCGCCCCAAACAAGCCCATGCCTGGAGATGTCTCTCAGAGCCCAGAAAAACTACCAAAACGTTCAAGGTCCAGGAGCAAACAGCACTTGACTTTGCATAAAGCTTGTGTGTGGGTTCTGATAGGAAAGCACGACTAGCTGCCCCCAAAGAGCCTCAGCAAAGCCCTGCTTCCCTGGCGATTGGTGTCCCCTCCTCCAGGGCCACCCTCTAGGGTCTGAGCAGTTCGCTCTTGAGAAGCCGCGATAAGCAGAGGAGCTGACAGCAGCAGAAGGACGAAGGTGAGGTCACGATGGGCCATGCACGGGGGGAGGCAGAGGGGGAGCCCCCCCCCTCGCTTCCGTGCCGGCTAGGAAATCCTGGCCGTGCAGAGTCTCGCCACCGCGGGCACAGCAGGATGCAGAGCAGGCCGGGGCCTGCAGCCCAGCGCCAGGTATGCGGCCCCGCGGCAGGCGCGCCCACGGCAGGTGCAGCGCAGCCAGTGCCGCGGCCCCAGGAGGGAGCCCTGCAGGTGCGGTTGGGACACGTCCCGGCTCTGCAGGAAAGCCACGCGGCTGCAGAACAGCCGAGCGCCCTCCGCCCGCAGGTCCCGGGGTGCAGCGGGGGTGACGCCCGCGGCGGCTCCGGGACGGGGCGTGGGCGGAGGGGTGCCCGGGGCTCCTCTCGGCAGAGGCCTCTCCGGACCCCCGGCGCTGCCCGCCCAGCCCTCGCACCGGCACCCTCCCGTCCACCCTCGGCCATCCCTGGGCACGCGGCTCCCCCAGCCTCCCGGCCCCGTGCTCAGAAGCCCCAGAGCCTCCAGCTGCCACCCGAGTCCCCTTGGCGGACCCAGGAGCCACCGCGTGTTCACACCCACCCACCCTGCGGGGGGGGAGTCGTGGTTCTTTGTTGAAGGGCCGCTCAGACCTCTGGGAGGGCTCTCCTCTCCCTGATGTGACATCAGAAACCAGACAGAGACCCGTGTTCCTGACGCACATGCGCATCCAGCCCTCTGCTGCTTCCAAAAGGCCTTTGATCCTCGGGCAGGATTTCCCATTTCTATCAGTTATGCTGTGAGAAAATGGGAGACGTGGCGCTAAGTGGAGGGATGAAAGCCTAGAAGACAGTGTCCCATCAGCCACCCCTTTGCTGCAGCCGCACTAGTTACTAACCCCCCTCAGCGCCCGAAGGGCAGCCAGGGCTTAGAGCACCGCACACCACCGCACCGCCCGTCTCTGCTTTTCTCTAATTTCCTATTTAATTATCTGACGGTTTTTTTCATTCTACAAGAATGTACGTCCATGAACACATAGATCTCACCAGTCTTATTCACTCTTGTCCTCCTGGCTTTTCAGAGAGTTGGTGCTTAATAAATATCTGCTGAATGAGTCGATGACTGAATCCCAAGGCCTGTGTTGTTGGAAAACCTCTTTCTGTGTGAGTTTGTGTGCCCAGGGTGACGCTGATTCCTGAGAAAGTCGTTGGGACACCAGTACGTACCCAACAGCATAAAGTATGACAGAATTATCTCCCTGAGGTCCAAGGCAGCCCTGACGGCCCACAACTCACTGTGGGAGATCAGGACCAGAGGTCAGTGGTTAATTCTGCCCATCATTTCAGGGGTGTCAGCAGCGACCTTTCATGGTGGTCACCAAACAAAATTAAAAATGGTCACTCGTGGACTTCCCTGGTGGCACAGTGGTTAAGAATCCACCTGCCAATGCAGGGGACATGGGTTCTATCTCTGGTCTGGGAAGATCCCACATGCCACGGAGCAACTAAGCCCGTGCACCACAACTACTGAGCCCGTGCTCTAGAGCCTTCAAGCCACAACTACTGAGCCTGCACTCTAGAGCCCGCGAGCCACAACTACTGAGCCCGTGTGCCACAACTACTGAAGCCCACGTGCCTACAGCCCATGCTCCATGACAAGAGAAGCCACCACAATGAGAAGCCCGTGCACCGCAACGAAGAGTAGCCCCCGCTCGCTGCAACTAGAGAAAGCCCACGCACAGCAACGAAGACCCCACACGGCCATAAATAAATAAATAAAATTTTTTTAATCTATTAAAAAATGGTCCCTCAGAGACAAAAAGCAGTAAACCAGGGACACTTGGGCACCTGGGAAATTCACTAGGATGAGTATGTATGTCTTTGCCCAGAGAAGAATACTAGCTGATTGAGTGCCTTTATTTGACGTTCACAGTGTAAGTTTATTACATGGAATACATCTTCACAAATGGAGCAAAAGTAAATAGACTCCAAGTAAAGTACATAGTAAGTATGACTTGAGTTCAATAAAGATTATTCTATGGACTAGAACAACCTAGGACAATCTGCTAAGAAACTAGCATCCTTAGGAAACTTAAAGGCCTTGCCGCTGGCGGGAGGGCACTGCAGGATTTATTCCGCCAGGGCGGCGATCCCACTGATCCAGGCCCTGGGTAAAGTTATGAGGTCAAGGGCTTCAAACTCACACGTTTTCAGCACGCGGCTGGCCACAACATCTTAACTTTTAAAGGCAGAGAATGTGCAGGTAAACAAGATACGAAATCACCTGGTAGAAGCCACACATCCTGAGAACAGCCTCCCTTCCTTGGCGGGTGTGTTACTCTCTCAGAAACACGCACTGTTGTGGCCGGTTAGAAGGTGTTCCGGCAACTTGGGGCCCCCGAGAGGCCACCCGGCAGGGCTTTGCCAGGACGAGGGGCCCCTGGAGCTGACACCCATGCGGGCCTGCGGGGCCTCACGCCTCCTCCCCTCCCTTCCCGCCGGGGTCCCCCTCCCTGTGGACCTACCCTGTCCTGCAGAGGGGTCAGCCCCGAGCCGCTGCCTGGCCCACTCCTCAGCTTTGCCCTCGTCTGCCAGCTGACTTCCCTGGGCCCGTAATTCATGGCAGCGCACTCATCTGGAGGGTGACCACCCCCAGTGACGTGACGGATGCGTGAACACTGTTCTCAGACCAAACTCGCGGACTCCGGGGGACTCTAACATTTCCCCCAATGTTCCCAGAATCCAGATCTCCTGCCCCAAGAATGACAGACATTCGTGTGGACGGTCTGTCTCCGCCAGCCTCTCGCCCTCTCGGGGAGCAGCGCCCCCACCCCTCCTCCGGAGTCTTCACCTCACCTGTTTCAACCTCCGCACACGGCCTCCTGAGGGCCTGCCTCTCAGACCGCGTCTCGTTACACTTTACCTTCCACGCTGCACATACATCTGCTACCGCATCCTACTGCCTCCTTTTCTCCCAGGTCACCAGCTGGTTCTGACCTTACTGTCTACTCTCTTCCTCCCTCGCCCTTGCTCCACCTGGGTCACTCCATCTCATGCCCAGACCTGCTTCTGTCCGGGTCTCTCAGGAAACTCCGGGGGCCCCCATCACCCCGTCACCAGCAACCCGTCAGAGTTCAAGTTCTTGCTGGTATGTGCCCACACCCGACAAAAGACAGGCTCCCCAAGGACAAAAGGTACCTCATTCACCTGCAACCCCAGGCCAGTAAGTGACTGTGTTAATCTCTCACCTGGTATGAAGGTTCTAGAAGCAGCCTGGCAGGGCTCGCGGACGGTAGCGAGTTGTCTGGATCCTCGGAAAGTCGGACCCCCAGAGTATTGCTGTGATCTAAAGAAAACCAAACCCATTTGGGTCCCTCCCCACAGGCTTCAGACTCCAAATGGGAGAGCCAGCCACATCTGCGTTCAGGAGCTGATGCGTGTGAGGAAGTCACCTCCACCACATCCACCTGCAGCGCAAGGCGGCCACCAGCTCCCTGAAGACCACGTTGCATCTAAGGTTGATCTGGGGTTTTCCCGCAACGACAGTCAACACGCATGCGCATCTCATGCACTATGGGTACAGAGCACACTGCAAAGCAATAGGGCGTCCTGGGCACACCCCAAAGTGTGACTCACATCGGCACTGGCAGTGAGCCATCCTCCAAGCTCACCCACCTTCCCTCTGTCCACGGAGGGTCGACCCGTCCGCGACGGTATGCGTCAGATACGGTCCGCGGCCCTAGAGGCATCAGTAAGAACCAAAACTGAAAGTGAAAGTGGGCAGGGATTCCCTTCTCCGTCCTTTGCATCCCTGACACCACCTTTGTCCTGACTCCCAGATTGGCGCTGCCTGGTGGACACAGGGCTGTGAGGGGCTGGTATTCACCGGCTTCAGCACCGACAGGCACCTGCCGTCCAGGTAACAGGCGTCCAGTGTGTGTTGGTGAGGAGGGCGCACCGCTGCTGGTCTGAGGACCCTGTGGTCCAAGCACCCTGCACCTACGCTCCTTACACAGGTGCCTCGGCCAGCAGGAAACCAAGCCTGTTCCCCGAAGTGCTCACTGAGGCCCCACACACTCAGTCACAGTCGGCGGGGCTGGTTCCCTGACCCTGTGCCCTGACCCCAGCACCTGCAGGGTTTTTGTTATTTGAGTGGCATTTTTATACTTTGCAAATCACTTTTACACCCACGACTTCGTGTGATCTTACAGCCTTCCCAGAAGTGGACAGGCAGACGGTATGATTAATGGTGAGTAAGCCGAGGCACGGACAGGTCAGACCTCAGCTGCAAGGGCCACGCGGGGAGGCGCCCACGGACAGGGTCCCGGCGCTGGCCTGGAGTCACTGCAGCTTCGTAGGATCCACGACATTCACAGGCAACCATGTGGGAGCGTGGAGGCCACTGGGAGGGGTCTGGCTCAAGGGCAAGAGACACAGGGCTTCCCGAGCGCCGCAGCTTCTGGGGCGACAGGGGCTTGGGAACGCGCGCTGGGTCCTTAGGTTTGCTTTAATGGCGCAGCGTCTGCTCTGGTACAAAGGCTTAACGATTCCAGCGCGGCCATTAGTTCCCACCCGGCAGAGACGACACCAGATGTTATAAAGTCACGTCTCCCGGCCATCGGCCCACCAGGCCACAAGGACACGTCAAAAGCAGCAGCAGCTCCCGCCAGGAGTGCTCCCCATGTGTCCTAGGACATCAGAGCCCAGGTGACTGGAGGTGTCTGGGAGGCGGGGCAGCAGGGCAGACAGCGCCCGCTCCCAGCTCCCGGACGGACCAGGCAGAGCTGCCCCCAGAGCAGAGGGATGGGCTGCCCAGCTTCACACAGATGGACAGCTCCCATCCAGACCCAGAGCCGGCGTCGGGAGCTGCCTGCAAACCTGCAGGGCTGGAAGGGAATCACTCATTTGACTGGAGCGCAAGATGTGCCCAGAAGCCCGTCCAGCTTCTTGCTGCCACCACCAGGAAGCCGCAGAGAAGGGGCTGCACGGCGCGGCTGCCATTGCGCAGACCTCAGCGCACAGAGCAGGCACCAGCCTGCCCGCATTCCTCTCTCCCGCCCGGCAAGGAGCAGCCAGGAAGACTCAAAGGGCTGTGGGGAGTTCAAAGGCTGAGAAACTGGCTGCTTCGTTATTACCAGCACTCAGACACTGGGAGCTGAAAAATCCGCCGCAGAGGTGATCAGAGGTCACTTTCTCTCAGCATCGAGCACAGCAAGGAGGTTTCCTGTAAGCGGGGTCTCCAAGGCTCAGTTTGTTTCCTATACACGTGCACACACACACCTGTCTCTTTACTAAGCAGCCTGCTGGAAGGAGAGGCCTGGAAAGACGAGGCTTCTCTGCAGAAACCGTCCTCCTGACAAAGTCTCTGCCTGCTTACTCAGAGCAGCTTCTCTTCTCACAGCCGCCAGCGCGGAGGAGCATCTCCCCCAAAACTGCAGCGAACGCTTCCCAGGCTTTTTTAAGTGAAAAACACCCTGCCACAATCGCGAGAGGAGAGCAGATTCTGTTTGAACTGAGCTGAGACCCGCTGCCACACGGGGCACCCGGGAGTGGACGGGGGGTGGGGGTTGCTCCACAGCAGCACGTCGTGGAGAATCGGACTTAGTGAGGGGTTCCTGGCTTCCATGCTTTGCTCTTTTTTCCACGTGGAGACGTAAAAGAAAATCTAGGCAGGAATGGAGTCCAAGGACCTGGTTCTTAGCTCAGGAAGAGGGACAGGAACTTGAGAAAACCTGCAGAACTCAAGAAGACTCTGGAAGTACATCGATTAAAAAATAAGCAAACACAATAAAAAAAAATTAAATAACCATCAAAATATTAACAACCAGCACGTTGGCAGGGCCAGCTTTGCACCAGAGGACGGTCTGTTGCAGCCCCTACCTGAGGACAGAAAGAAGGTGACACACCTGGAAAGAGCCTTGAAACAGCTGCCCGGGCCCAAGGCCGTGTCTCCAGGACCCTCCCTCCGCCCCCATCTCCTCTCCCCGCGAGGGTCTCCACCTTGGGGAAGGTGGAATTGAGCTGCCAGGATTGTTTTGTGGGGAGAGTCAGTGATACACGTGGTTTGGTGTGTCCTCAGCACAGCGCCTGCTGTTAGCTCTTATCTGTGTTACGACTGATGTTAGCAGTGTATCCTTTTCTGATATCATTTTCTCTGCTCTGTTTTAGTTCCTTCGACACTGTTTCTATACCTTCATGTTGTTTTCATGGGAAGGTTGTTAATTCTACGTTTGGCCCGACTTTAAGTAATCAAACTTTCTTTTTATTGGTCCCACTTAAACACCACAGTCATTGAATGAAATGTGGCCACTGCCCCGTGAGATGACCCTGCAGGGCCTCGGAGACCTGCGCGTGCTGGGTGCCCGAGCTTGGTGCCGGTGTTTAGATTTGCGGGTTTTGTCTGTTACTGTCCGGCAAGTGCTCTCAGCCTGAGAGGCAGGTGACCGGGGTCCCTGCGACCTCACTGGGGCTCCCGGGGCCGCACAGGGGGACGAGGGCCCAGGGCCGCCCGACGTGTGGGGAGCTGCCCCGTCCCACCCGTCATCACGAGAGCAGCTCTGAGCAGTGTGTTTCCATCCCCTCACTTTATCTTTAACTCCATCTGAGTGTGCTTTTCTAAATCAATAAAACCCTCAATAAGGACTGGGAAAGTGAGGTCAGGACAAGGGTATCACCACGATGCCTGCCTGGTGCAGACGTGGACTCACCGCCAGGGTGACCCCCTCCCTACAGGAATCCACCAGTAAAGGGGCACGCAGGGCGCTCCATCCAGTTTAATAATGATATTTGACGCGGTGACTTCCCATCCACTCAATTGGTTATGCTCTTCTACTTCTGAAATATAGCGGGGCTGTGTGCAGACTGCGTCAGGAAAGCTTCCGCATCAGAGGCCAGAGGGTCAAACGTTCAGACAAAAACTAAAGATGCCTTTTTCTTTAACAATGAAAAATACAGCGTCGCGATTAACTCCAGCACACCACAAGACATCTATTAATACGATAAAACTTTGAGGAATATAAAGACTGCCTTGACCAAGCCTCAAGGAAAAACATTTGCCTGTTCCTGAGACGCAGGAGAAGTTGAAAACGTTCGTCTACATAAAATATGACTCTCCGAGTCTGCCGAGGTCAGTGAGACCCGGGACGGCCAGCGTGATCTGCAGCTCGTTTGCACTGGTTCCTCCCTTCTTGTATCTCTGTGTCTTTCTTTTACTTCCCCTCCGTCCCTCCAACTTCCCCCCCGAGGGGCGCACACCACCCACCGTGAGGGCAGCGTGGTCAGGGTCCAGCGCCGAGTTCCTGCCTCCTGATTGGACCCACTGTCTTCGTCTCCTGGTGGCCCAACTCTCGGGGCAGTGGGAGGACAGACACAAGTTAGCTCAAACCATCAGACTCACTTTGCTACAGATTAGTCACAGGTTCCCTCACCACGGCTTGTCTTTCCGAGTTCCTATTTCCCTCGGAATTTTTTACAAGCCGGCATCTCTCCACAGGTAAGATGCTGACACACATGCAGGCAGGTTATAGAGAACATGAGTTTGACTACAGTTTAAAGTTATATGTTCAGGGGACTTACCTGGTGGGCTAGTGGTTAAGACTCCATGCTCCCAATTCAGGGGGCCCCAGTTCGATCCCCAGTCGGGGAACTAGATCCTGCAGGCCGCAACTGAAAAAAAAAAAAAATCCCACATGCCGCAACTAAGACCCAGTGCAGCCAAATAAATAAATATTTAAAAAATAATAATAATAAAATAAAATTATATGTTCAGGAAGGAGGAAATAATATCTAAGGTTTTTAGTGAATTCATAGATTTTAAAGCCTACTGGCAAATATTAAGGTAGTTTAAGCTTCAAATCCTCTCCCAAAACAATAATTGCTTCCTAGGTGTGCAATTGAAAACACTGTACAACTTTCAGAAATACTGGTACTTCTTAAAAAAACATCTGATGTAGTCATGGAAACAGGAATATGGTGAGAAGCAAGAGAGTTTTTTCAAGTCTTTTAATATAAAGTAAAACAGAGTTTCAAGCCAGAAACAAATGATCACAGACTAGTTTCTGATGTGACCAAAATCACAAAAGCAAAAATGGCAAAAGGATAAATCAGCATTATTACGGTACTGCCGGGAAGAGAATGTTATAAAGTTGCATAAATATTTTCACCCTAAATCCCATTTATTATTTTCCTTCATGTATAATTTTCTGAAAAACAAAGCATTTTCCCTGAAAACTTTCCATGCTATGATTTTCTCCTTCTCCAGGGGTCACTTATTTACATTTTGGAAAAATCTGAGTAACATCTGTTCGAGGGCTTTGGCTTTTAGGGAGGAGAGAAGTGGAGGGAGCACAAGACAATATTCTTGTCCCTGAAAGCTATTGAGTCATTGTAACTTCAGGTCCCTAAACGGTAAAGAAAACCAATGACTTCTTCACATGCCTCGACAAGAAAGGCAATTATGTAAAGTAATTGAGCCTAAATGGAAACGTATTTGTATGAGACCTTGAGTTTTTCTCCTTACATGTGAT